ATATTAAAAGCAATAATAACAAATAAAAAGTATAAAAAAATCGCTTTAAACAAAAAACTTATCAATTATATATGCATAATAATTTACTCTATGCTGAGATTAAAATACACTTAAACTATCAATCAAAAAAGTCTCATGCTCAAGTCTCAAAAACCAGAGAGATAAAATGTACTATACATAAATGTATGAACACATAATGATTATATTAATTTTTGTAGTCTTAATCATATTTATGTAAGATATAGAATGAATTGCAAAATTTACGAATATATTGTGAAATTATCAAAATATCCTTGAAAAAGTAGTTTAACGCAAAAAATGAATACAATTAAAAGTATAAAACCATAAACTTTTATAGAAAATTAATTAATTTTGATGAAACTTAAAAATTAAATAAGTTTTTAAGACGATTTTAAACATTCTGCTACGATATTATCTACACCTGCCTAATTTTCATATTCTTAATATTATCCAGTATTTTCCCGGTATTTCTGTCCCTAAGTGCCTACTTTTCTAGAATTCGTAGAGTTTACTGAGTTTAATTCTCAAAAACAATTCAGTGTGTCCAGGATAAATAATATTCTCAAATCGTATAATATAAAGTATTACCTAGTTGGTATAGTGCATTCATTAACAAAGACCACTGAACAACAACAAATTACATACTAAACAATAACAATTCAGTGTGTCCAGGATGAATAACCACCAACTCAAATCGTATAATATGAAGTATTACATAGTAGGCCATTAATAAAGGCCACTGAGCAACAACAAATTACATACTAAGGAAAAAAATAAAATCGGTTTTACTACTTGTTGTTATATCATTGTCCTTCTCTACTAAAATGCACTATATAATTCTTTGTATATATGTGTTTTAAATACAGTGCTGGGTCAATGTAATAAATACTGATAACAGAAATGAATGACATAAAGCACTTTTTTTTAGAGAAATAACTCTAATGACTATAAAATGTTTTTAATGTAATAAATTTTTGGATAAAAACTAGAAATAACGTATGACCCAAACATTATATAATTCGTTATAATGTGCCATCATCACTGTATAAAAAAAACCAACTCCGTACCTGTCAATTCTACATTACGATATACATCCTAATTTTGTGAAAACCACAATTTGTTTGTATTCTAAGAAAATGCTTAAGATAAAATTGAGTAAAAATGTTGATAATGAGAATGTTACCAGTAACAGATAGATGAATACAAGATTCCAGGTTTAAGGCATAGAATTGAATATGAAAACTTCATCATTCAAATTATAATATGATATATATAGTGATGAAACAAAAATATCTGAGTATAGCAAAAAAAACTTAGGGAGATAAAAACGTCTGTCCAATCTCAAGACCTGGTCCAAACTGAAGAAAAAACTTACCAGTTAGCTGCTTCAACTATAGCATAACCTGTTTAGTACTACAGTATTGATGCTGTCAGGTCACTGCTTATAAAAAAGCATTGCTATGAAGCTGAGTCTATCCTAAAATTATATTTGTCGGATTCAAAATGTTCGGGTAAAGATTATAGATTAAAAGATCAAAGATTAATCAGAAGTAAATAGAAACCGATTAGAAATCTGTTATAATTTGGTGTAAAGTTACATTATGCCTACTAAAAAATATAAATACATTTAATCTTTGATTTTCTTTTATTGTTTTTGTTACACTCCGGTTACACCAATAACTATTAAAAATTATAAACACATTTAGTCTGAACAAGAAGATATGGGTTACGTGATTTTTATTATTGTTTTTTATAATGCATTGTATAACTCATTAAACCTTTGCAGTTAAAACAAATAAACAAGTAAATACAATAAAATCAGAAAATCAGATAAACAAACAGCTTTGGATTTATCTAAGCTGACCACTATAGGTTTCACATAAAATTCTTTATTTAAATCGTAGTAACTCTTATATTTACTAAAATTACCTAAGAATTTGAGATTTGTTTATAATAAACTGTTATTATGTATTATTATATTCAAAACTATGTCAAAACATAAATTCAAGAATAAAATTATATAGTAATGATGTTTATACATATATGTGGAATTACTTAATAAACAAAATTGTAGTAAATATATTAACAAAAAATAATAATTTCTCTTTGAGAACATATATATAAATCATGAATTGGCTTAGCAACCTATTGATCGTTATAGTTTTTGGGGTATATATAAATAAAATAAATTTCATTCCTCAGCGATCATATTAGATATATTTTTAGCAATAATTTATACTAAAATGACCGATATATAATTTGATAGATGTATATGTAAATTCATTGAAAAATAAAAATCTTTTTATGCACCAAGTTTGAAGTTAATTACAGCATTGTATAAATTTCGATCGATCAATAAAATTTTTATTAAAAATATGTAATATAACCTTCAATATTAAAAACCGTATTGAGTAAAAATATATTGACAAATGAAATAGTTGTTTCTTTTTATAAAAGCTTGTATCTAAACAATTAGTGTGTATTGCAGACGTAACGTCTGAACCAACATGAATTTAATTTGGAAAAAATATTAAATATTTTCTATTCATTTAATAAAACAATAGCAAACAGGATTCCCTAAAGTAATTAAATCTAACATTGATTATGCAAAGTATCTATAAATTGTTATAATAAATTAAATTCATTTAATCACGAAGTAAACTCCTTCATTTCACACATGCATGCAAGCATTTTCAACCTAGTGTAAATATATACATTAAATGCCAGCAAAAAAGGACACTCTTCTTCCAACCTCTCTTAACAATATTGCAATTATTTAAATAAACAAAAATAATTTGTTATAGAGACTATACAATACTTCTGTCACACAAAATAGCCCACAAACCTTCGATGCCCTGTTTAGTGAACAGTAAAAAATATGACATTTAAATCTCTTCCGAAAAAAAAAATTTTCACGATCTCAAAAATTGCTTGTTGTTATTGTAATAGTCCGTAGAGATCTACATGACAAATAACATAAAAGGAATCACAAATACAAATATATGGGTTAGGATATGATTGGATATGGTTGAATTTGTGAAAGGGAAAGGAGTTTTTTGGTAACAAGAGCGGATTGTGAATGAATGAGATTCTAATTAAAGCTAAACTGGCTCAAGGCGTCAAAACTTATCTATTGCAATAAAACATAGCCAACCATCAATGTTCCAATAACGTGTTAATATATAGCAAATGTACAGAACAAATTATGGCTTTTAAATATTTTGGAACTGCACTACTTTGAAGTGTCCTAAAAAGCACGTATAAAAGGGGGCATAAGAGTGATACAACAAATATCTAAATAGAAAAGATAATGACAAAACTTGTAGAGAAAAAGGGAAGAATAGAATCAGTATGTACAGATTTGAAAATTACGACTTAGCTAAGATTGCTAGAACCAACAGCCATAAGAACTCCAGGGTGAACACCAAAAAATGAAATGAATGAACATCTGCTTAATTCAAAAAATTTTTTTTTGGTATTTTTATGGAATATAAAAATATCAGATAATATATATATTTATATTATTGATGTGATACCAATCATTAAAAATAAAAAAAAAAATATGTTTGCTTGAAGATTGGCATAAACTCTAAAATGTAGGGAGTTCTATTGGCATCTTAAATGAAACTCATAACTAGATATGTATATGCACTGGAAAGAATATCGAGTCCTTCTTAATTAGTTTAGTAAACCGTTTTGATTAGCCGAACGCATTGATAAATTTGAGTACTAATCCTAATGCTTGTAATATCACTGACTGAATTACTCATGACTAAGTATAAAAAGGAAATTATTGAGATGTAAAATTTTAGCCAAGATAATTTAAACGTATGGGAAACAATTTAAAACATAAAATATTCTTAAGACTCATTAGATGTCATATTAATGATGTTAATCAATTTCAAATCTAAGAAAAGGATCTAGAATCTGTTTGGAAACTATTGTATGACTTTTATTAATATTAAAAAATAATGGCATGAAGAAACCTCTATATATTAAACCAGCAAAATTAAGCAAGATAATTTTTATTTATTTAATAATTTATAAAGAGATTTTACGAACAGTAGTGAACTACAAGAATTCATTTTATATTATTTTAATTAATTAAATTTTGGCTGACCATACAGTATTGCCAATTACCCATCATCAGTGGTATTGGAAATATTTGTTGTACTTAATTATTCGTAAATAATTTTTTTGGGACTGCAAGTACCAGGAATCGAACTCATGTCCTGCCAAATTTAAAACTCAGAGTCAGTGCACCTTAACCTACTGACCCAAAGCCTGAATAATTTTTTTGGGACTGCTAGTACCAGGAATCGGACTCGTGTCCTGCCAAATTTAAAACTCAGAGTCAGTGCACCCTAACCAACTGACCCAAAGCCTGTGACTTGGCTGCGAAAATTTTTTTAACAAATTCACTTGCCATAAACCAGCTGTAGAATAATTGAATTAATAAATTATATTTTTATTTTTAATTGTTAAATTTCAATACTATTAGAACCTAGTAGTATTCCAGAAATACTATTAGGTACATAATACTGAGAATGCTAATGTTACTCCACGAGTCGCACGGGCGAGACCAATATTTTGTGAATAATGATTTATGTTAACATAAATTTTTTTTTAATTAATTAATTATAAATGATTGTAATGTGAAAAACAACATTAGTGAATAAGCTTAATCGTCTTTTACATCCTACTATGAATTTAATAATTGTCATAAAAATTTTAAAAACATAAAATAATGACAATTAAAAAAATAAATAATTAATATTATTTTATTTAAATAGTTAATATTATTTTATTTAAATAATTAATATTATTTTATTTAAATAGTTAATATTATTTTATTTAAATAATTAATGTTATTTTATTTAAATAATTACTATACACAAATACTAATTAGTTATAGCTTTATCAAGTTTATTACATAGAATCTATTTAACACACATTTAGCAATAGTATATAGATTTTACCTCTTAATTCTACTATAATTCTTTTGCAATTCCCCTCTCGTTCGCACCCTTTGATGCAATAAAAAAGTTGTTGCACTTTTATTTTATGTTTTATTTAATTTTATTTAATGTTCTCTTTTTATTTTGAATTCGTCACATTGGCCCGCCAATTTTCCTAATGTGGAGGTACTAAACAGAATTATTTTTTATTTTTTTCCTTTACTTTTTTTTCAGTAAAAAGCTTAGAGAGTAAAAAACTGTAAACAATTACGGTAAATTAGTTACAGTAATTACACACATATATGCAGGAGCACGTTTTTTGCACTATAATAATTATTATTTAAAATATGCATGTATTTTTCATTATTAATATTTTTAAATTTAATTCCGAGAAACTCTAAAAAGCCGGCTTTTTCATCACACAAAAATGTTGGGTCTTCCTTAAATTATGCGCTTATCTGACATACAAACATCTATAAGTAAATAAAATTTGTGCATTACCTAATCAAATTTTGACAAAATTTTTGCGAATAAATTGTTTTAATGTAATTTTATTATTTATATACCTTTTCTTTCTAATTTTGGCCGAATTTCAAATAGTAATTTTGCTCAATGGAATAGCACACAAGTTCCGCGCACTTCGCACTTCACCTTACCAAAAACAAACAAAAAACTAATTTCGTCATCATTTCCGATACTTTTGTGGCACGGTAGCTAATTCTTTTCTTTTTGTAAAAACACAATAAAATTATGGCACTCAATTTTTAATTATATATTATAAAGAGAACATTTGTGCCTTTGCAATTAAATGATTGTATTACACATAAATCCTTTCGGTAAAATTATTAAAAATATATAAAAAATTTAAAACATACAAAGGACATCATTCTTTTATTTCCTTATTCGCTATCACATTAATCACATCAAAACACAACCGTTTCGCTCGCAACGAACAAAAGTACTGAACGAGTGTTGCAAATTTCACTTCAAACGAGCAAACGGAGCATTGACTGCGGCTGCTTTTGCAACAAACAGTCTGATGTGTTATAGCGAGTTTGATTTCGTGGTTTGATAGCAACAATAGCAACAGAACACAAATCATACAAAATAGTAGCAAATAAAATAGTAGCAGATTTGAAATCCCAATTTAAATTTATTTAAAATATTTATATTTATAATATATCTTTTTAAATGTTAACGAATTGCTTTGTATCAAAACAAAATCTTACGATATTTCAATTAAAGTGTAAATAAACCAAGCTGTTTATTATTTTTTTGTTTTAATGACCAAACTATTTATAAATAAATTTGTTTTTGAAACGCGCTTATTGATCAATTGTTAAATAAAACACTTTTTTAAAGACTAAATTGTTCAAGAAAAAAATTCCCATATTCAAATATTTATTAATTCCATACCATAGCTTAAGGAAAGTTTATAATACAACTTCGAAATTAAAACTTAATATAATTTCTTGAACTACTATTTTAACAAATAGAAAAAATGTAAGAATATTATAAAAACATATTGTTACGAATTTCATCAGAGTAGCAATGAAATGTTTAAATAATATTTAAACATTACGTCAATTGATATTTTTATTAAAAGTTAGTTTGGAAATTTGTTTTGAGTGAAGTTAAATTGACTCCTAATTAATACTAGTTCTTTGTAATACACAAAATATATAAGTATAGTTTCTTCAATCCTAATAATTCGTTTCATTTTTTTACAAAATCCTGAGTTTCGAATAATCACGCAGGCGATTACGTAACAATATTATAAATATAAAATCGATTATTTTTTCTTATATATAAAAACTTTAATATAATTATGTTTATAATTGAAATTTTTTTTAATATTCACTAAAACATATATAAAATAAGAATAAAAAAAATGTTTATAATAGAAAGCTTGTTTTTAAAATTTACTACAAAATATATAAAATAAAGATAAAAGAGAAAATGTTTAAAATCAAAAAAATTTTTTAAATAACACTACACATAAATAAAATAAAAAAAAAATTCAAGATTATAACGAAATTTCTTTAAAATATAAAGGAAGTAACTTTTTCTTGTTGTATCTAAAAATTTTAATACAATAATATTAATAACCAAAATAATTTTTTAATATTCACCATAAGATTAATAAAATAAACATAAAACTATTAAAATTAGAATTCACATAATATAGATATATAAAATCAAAGTTTCGATATTGTACTATGGTATATACTATACTGAACATGTGGAACTTCCAGGTTAACATGGCCCACCTATAATAAAATTAGATTCTTGGAACTCATCAAAAGACACCGTGTGAACAATGCCCGGACCTGACATCCAGAAGAAATAGTTTTTTAGGAAAATACTTCTTTGACTGTTCATCTGTGAAGACGAGAGACCTATTAAATTATCTGAATTTGACGGGATGAATTTAGTCTCTACTCTTCTATACTATGGTTTTTACGAGCAATGTGGTAGCAAAACGGCGAAAAATCGCTAATTGGGGTACATGGAAGTTGGCTAATGGTCTGCCACTGCAACCAACCATACTAAACAGTTTTAAATGAACTGAACAATCCTACGAAAGCTTATGATAACGCCATGGAACGCAAATCGAATGGGAATAATATATGACAAAATAATCATTGCAAACACGGTCTTTTAAGTATTCAGAAGAAAATATCAGTGAGCCAAAAAGAGAAATGAGTTCAAGCGACGTTAGTTCACAATGTGTAGCTAAAACTGTAGCTCTACTTCCCGTGACGCCATTGGTTCTCTTGGCCTGATGCACAATCTTATTTAAGCCCAATTAATCTAGGACTTCGAACAATTGAAGTGTCAGATTCCTTTCCATTACTTAAATGTAATCAGACTTTTTACCTTGTATATTTATTCCTTCCTCTCTTTCCTTGACCTCGACCTAGAGTAATTACAATTAAGATCCGTCCACGCGCCCATACCAAACATTCATTCTTCTTCTCACCCTATCTTCAGCCAATCACATTGTAACACATGTATCAATAGGATTAATAGTTTCAATAAATTAAATGTTTCATGCTGTATATATATCTTAAAATTTTACCAAAACAATATAAATTCTAGCAGCTATAAACTTACTTCAAAATGACTAATAAAGAACTAAAATAATGATTCCTAACAAAATAAATCGAGTCCTCGTATAAACTTGGCATTGACAAGCAACAGTATATGTGTATGAATATGAGTAAGATTAAAGGACATGTATTACGACTGAAGTGTATAATGACATTTATTTTTACTATTACAGCTGCAAAATGGTTAAGATTTAATAAAATGCACTGTCTAATAGTTTTGTTGAGAGTGAGAGGTGCACTTAATTCGATAAGCTTGGGCTACATAATTCAATACCAAGTAGATCTGTAATTACCGATATTAAAAACTACTAATACATGAAACAGAAACGATTCTAAACGATATTCGATTATTGATCCTAAAGGATAGTTGACCCATCTAATGCATATATTCTGAACATTTTTTATTGTCACTCACAATGAATCGAAAATCTAAAATAGTCCAAAAAATAATTTTTCTCTAAATGATTGGAGTTTTAACAAGAGCCCAATAAAAAACTTAAATAGAATTATGTAGCATTCTCTTTTCTTTTATTATAATATATTAATTAACTATATAACCAATCTATATTCACAGAAATAACATCTTATTATGTCGAATAATTTTAAACCTTCATAAATTTTTCAAAAGCCACAACACAAAACTTCAAACTTATAGAAAGTAATTGATAATAGATGCCAAAGAATATCGAAAGCTATATTCTTATCATCAGGGATAAACTAATAACACCACTTATTTGATATATTTTCAATACTTATTATATTATTGCTAAAAAAATAGAAATTGTAACTGAATGATAAATATTATAATATACGTTTTTAATATATATTTTGTTTTATACGTGCCATGAATTTTAAATTATTATAAAAATAATTTTTTTTAAATTTATTATAATCTAGTTATATTGTATATATTTAACAATAAATAGCATTTACAATTAAATAAATAAAATACTAAATTAATCTCTTACCGAAGAAATTTTGTATTAAGACGGCATTATGTGTTACTCTGAAGTTTTTTGCACAGAATGAACCTTTGACTTGAAACTTTCTATTTTTAACTAAGAGATCCTTAATAATACATTAGAATTTAACTTTATTTAATGCAGAGATCTATAAATTCTATATAAACTTATAACGAATCATGCACAAATTATCCAAATATAAATCGATAATCTTAAAGGCGCATTGAGGTCTTTGAAGTAGATTTATGAAATTATATTTAAGAAGATAGAACCAAACAAATTTAATTAACTGGTATCTTAAACCTCTTTCTGTAAACAAGTCAGTCTTAATATATGTATACTACATACATGGATGAATAAGCAAAACGCTTGCTGAGACTACAGATTACGGTTATTATCTATTAATCCATTAATTATTTTTTATAGTTACAATAAAGATGATACAAACGAAATCCATTCGGAAGTATGAAATTTAATGAATTCTTTTCGCAAATAGACTAAAACTTGCGGCGAGATCTATAAAAACTAGGAATTGTAATAATCGACATTTTTAAGTCTCTCAAAGAGTAGTAAATTTTGATTTTTCCCTATTACATTTATTTTTGTATAATTGCCAGAATTATACAAAAGTTGAAGTATGTTACATTCATCATCATTTTGGCATCACAGTCCAGGATGGCCATGACCATTGCCTCCTCTACAATACGCCTCCATTCTTCTCTGCATTTCGCTTTCTTTCTATGTTGTGTTATTCACATCGTTCGTATGTGGTCTTCTATATCTTGTAACCATCTTTCGCGGCGGTCGTCCTCTTTTTCTACTCCCCTCTGGCTTTGTCTCGAAAATTCCATACCAACTCAATCTTTGGGCTTTTATGTATCGTGTTATGATTCGGTGCTTGTTACATTACAAGCAAAAATTACCAACGTTGTTGAGTTATATTGAAAATCTATTATTAGTGGTAGACATAATAGAATAACAATGGGTCAAATTCTTTGGGGCCTATGTGAACCGGTGTTTCTGCAAATTATACACTGTACCTCTTACGCATAGTAGTTGTAGCGACATAATAACTACTTAATGACTTTTTTTTCTTAACAATACAAGAACTAATTTCTTAATTTGGATTCCAAACATATACACATTGAAGTGCACCACATTTCCATTATTAATATAAATTCTTCGTTCAAGTTGATGTCCAAAGATCTTTCGTTACAAGTTTTGTACCAGAGTTAAATTATTAATTTTAATCTGTACCCGTATTAATAGCTAACGCAACTGTGTCGTATATAAATACAAACATTTTTAGTTAGCTTTTTATATTAAACATTTCTTTTATTTCACTTTATATTTTTAAAATATAAAAATCTATTTATCATTTTAACTGGAAAAGCTACAACTTAGGCTACCAAAGCAGATGCTGTGCTTGATTCGTATTTCCAGTTTGGTGGCAAAACACTCTTTGTTTTGTAGTAGCGGGCCAAACGGTGAATTCTGGATTCAACTAAGATAAGACGGAATTTACCATCCTTATCCTTACGGTTACGTTCTAAATGCTTACGGATAGCAACAGCCTTCTTGATCATGTGGTATAAATCCTCTGGGATGTCAGGTTTTAAACCAACAGACTTCATGATACGCAATATTTTATTGCCATTCACAAAACGCACCTGAGCAACACCGTGAGAATCACGCAAAATTATACCTGCAGTCACAAAAACAAAGTATATTAAAAATTGAAATGTATAATCATCTAGAATTAATATGTATGATTTTTAATATGATTAATTACATACCAATTTTGGATGGTGTCAAGCCTTTCTTGCCCAATTTCTTAATTTGTTCCTTAACATCTTCGGCGTTAAGTTTCAACCAAGATGGCACGGTTCTTCTATAAGGTAGAGCTGATTGGGATATACCCTTACTATAATGCAGCAGCAGAAATACATGTAATAGAAACAAAGATATACATTAACACTTAAATGTCAAATATTGTACTTAAATTAAAGCAACACCACATGGGAGTACGCACAAAATTTCCGGTTCATTTTTGACAACAATTTAGTTGTAACTAAACACTTTTCATTGAAATTAAATACTATATCGGTCTGCCCATGTTGTGGTGCATTAATTATGTTCAATCTACACTTTCAACTATAAATTATTTAATTTTACCCAGGAGCGTGCATACGACCCATCTTGTCAGATTTATTTTCTACACCAAAAAGAATGAAACGGAAGTGGAGAGATTTCACTCCAACATCACAAACAGTACTGACAACTAAAGTTGAGAAAAAATGTCATACATAATGGAAATCAGTGAACATACTTTATGAATACTGCAGACTTCTTAATAAAATTATATACACATATAAATTTATATATTTGTCTTTAAATAATAATTTAATCATTTAAATAACATTATTTAAACATTTATTCAGAAACAAACAATCAAAGAGATTCACGTCAAATTTAAAATTATTTTGGTTTTTAGGCATATGGGCATATGTAGGCATGCTTATACAATAATAAACATTTTTTATATTATATGTACGAAAAAAAAACGTACTCAAATTTTAGTAAAAGCAGGAAATTGACTATTGTGATATAACTTTTTATTAAACTAGCCCTTAGGTCATGACCAAAAATAAAAAAAAAATGCTATGATCACGTATCGTATGGCTGTTTGTATAAGACAAGCCTTAAACTCTGTTTAATACTTTCATTAAGTAAATTCAGTATTTAATTCTTACAAAATTTAAATAAAACTCTATATATTAATAAGCAATTATTACATAGCATTTATTGTCATACGAATTTTAATTAATGCTATTTATTGGAATTAGTGGGTAATATCAAAGCTATCAAATTTATTTTGAGTTTGCAGAATGTGAACAAAGTTTGGATTTTTTAGTTAATTGCCACACATCTTTTTATTGCAACAAAATATTGCTAGCTTAACGGACTACTAATCAAACGCTAAACTACTAAACTACTACACACATGCTATACATATTTACCCAACTTTATTTTTGTAGCTATTAAAGTCACTTACTGCGGTTTAATTGTTCATTGGACATAAAAATACGTATTTTTTAATTAACTTTACTAATGCGAAATGCGACAAATTGTTCAAGATTAACTAATCGAAAGCAAAATTAAAATTTTTATAAAAATGCAACTATGTGGATACGCTCAATATTAAACATACCGCCAAGAAAATATGAATTTCTACAAAATCACGAAGCCACGAAGAAAAAATTGAAAATGGCTGAGTTTTTGCGGAAAAGACCGAGTGCACAATTTTTTAATAATAGTTTTTAAATAATATGTATTTTGATATAATATTAAAAAACAGTATATATTTATTATCAATACAATTTGCAATGAAGTGAATTATAAATGTGATAAAATTCTTACGAAAATAAGCAAATAAAATTGATTAAAAGTGCATCGTAATATGAAAGATAAAATCTATATACATACATAAGTATTTGAAATAAATTAGGGAGGCAGAAAATTATTTTTCTCTGATTGTACATTAAATAATAAACGTTGCAAAAGTTATAATTGTATAAAATCAGAATACATTTAGTGAAATGTTATGAACTAAAAATATATGTACGAAAAACTTACATATAAAATATTAGCAAAAAGTCTTTACAATTACATGTATAGTAAATAATAGTTAATTTTTAAACATATGTATTGTATATTAAAATAATTTAGAATGTCAGATAGCAGTGATAATGATTATCAGCCTCGTCCATCGGGCAGTAATAAGCATCCGAAAAGGAAAAGTAGAATTGTAATGCGTATAGAATTCGACGATTCTGATGAGACATCATCAAGCAGCGCAAGTGGTGCAGACGATGACATTGATGAAAAGCCAACTTGTTCAAGAAACTTACGTACTAGAAACAAAATAACTACTAAAGGTGATAACAATAATGACAACTTCGATGAGTCTCAAGAAAATATAAGAAGATCTTTACGGAATCGACGTTCAAATATTTTAAATATAAAAGACGACAGTGAGGATTATTCATCAAGTGGAAGTGAGGTAATATATCATAAATTTAAGTTAATAGATAATAAAAGTATATAAAATATTTAATTTATAAAATGCTTATTATTTAATTATTTAATATGTATAATGTATAAATGTGATGTAATTAAATTTAAGAAAAACAAATTGTTAAAACATTTTGTAACCAAATGAAATGAATGAATAAGTAAATGAAAACAATATTTTGTATTTTAAAATATTTCTATAGCTTTAAGATATAGTTTAGTATAGGTGATTACACAATTATATGTAAAACGTTTATATCGCCAAATATTAGATAACTACTGTTATAAGTTATTATCATAAGCAGGGGATATAACTTTATTTTATATGAAATCTCGTGGCGAGGAGTTACAATGCACCTCTTCAGGGATGATATTCAAACGGAATTCGGTGGGCTGGATATCAAAAACTAAGGATCTTTTATGGTAAAATATATGTCTAAAGCACCGTTTTGTTGTTGAACCTAAAAATATAATAATTATTAATAATATAATATAATTTAAGATGCTAATATGTTAATTTTTAAGGTATTTTAGTAGATTTTTATATTGTTAATTCTGTGTTTTGAAAAATACATATAATTAAAATTATATGTTTATAAAATCATAGTAACGTATACAGATTTTTCTTATAAGTTCATTTATCCCTTATAAATCAAATAATCAGAGTATAAGTATACATATATAATGATATATAATATCTATATATATAATTATATATGACTATATAATATATGGTCGACTATTGTTATTATATTTGACTAAATAATATATGGTTGACTATATATAATTATATATGACTATATAATATATGGATGACTATATATAATTATATACATATATATATATGATTTGCAATACACTAATCAAATATATATATAGTCGTCTTCTCCTTGTGGAGCATAGGGCGTGTAGATTAATAGTATATAAGATTATAATATATGTAATATTATAAGTATATATATATATATATACATATATATGATTTGCAATACACTAATCAAATATATATGTAATCGTCTTCTCCTTATGGAGTATAGGGCCTCTAGATTATAAGTACTTCACGCCTATTTATAAACGCGAACAAATTACTATGGTTGACTTTAAAGAAGGAAAATGCCTTCAAGTGAAAATTTAAAATTTGGTGTAGCAGAATTCCGAAAACCTATAAATTAGGTATGTAACAGGATTGTAAATACATGGGGTGTAATGTGAAACTGATGTTGGAAGTCAAATATATGGAATATAATAGAAGAGAACTGAGTGGAGTGTAGCCAAAGAAGTATTGATGCTAGCTGCATGTCGAGGTAAAAAAGCTTGCAAACTCAATGGGGCTTAGCGATAAATAAATAAAGCTCCAATTTATATGTACAGTAGGATGGGTTAACAGATAAGAGGAGATGAGAATTAGAGCAACAGTCAAAGTATACATTAAAAATATATATCTTTATGCATGGAATGTGTTAAGCACATGGCTGGCAACTCATGAATATTGTGTTCCATCTTAAGTCACTTCAGGTAGGGGCATGTTGAGAAAGTTGTTGCACTGCAGAAATGTTTCAAAGTAACAATATCTCGGTATGAAGACCAGGTAGCTCTGCTGTTACTGGATCCATTGATTTTGATTTTCTGTTATGGTAGACGTTGAGGTAGAGAGGACTCTACTGATTGTAAAGCCATTTATATGTTTATTTTTATGGCACGTAAAGTGGATAAATGCTGATTTATGTTCTTTGTAGAAAATATTTGAATTATTCGCCAAAATGGTGGGCATGCGATTTCTACCAGTTGAAGTGTGTTGTATTAAGAAGTTTTGTCAAATTTGAATTTCATTTCATTGTGTATCATAGAGCTGTGGAATCTATACTGATGCAAGAAAAAATAAAAATCTATTATTTAAATTGATTGACCATTTTTGCCGCATATACAAAAATGCACGAAATTTTCGCTTATCATTTAACTTAAATATTATTTTAGCTCGTATCTATTTTAAGATATGGTAGTATAGAACAAAATATAAGTTAGCATATTTGAAATCTATTTACCTAGTACGTTTTGTGTGTTCCATTTTATGCAGTATAGTATAGTTAAAGTAGTCACAACAAAACATAAAATATGTAAAAATATATACGCAAAAATCCAAAAGTTCTCGTCTGCGCAAGTAACTCCTGACATACATACATTAAGACCGAAAAGTTTTCGGAAATTCTCATTTAAAATTCGCGCGCTGTATATTTTTCGATATTTTAAGTTTATGTAGTTTGGCAGCAATTAAGGACAATTACTATGCCAAAAATGAGCGCGATCTGTCAGACAGTTCGTTTACGGCAGCTGTTGAAACCAGTTCACCTCAGTAGGGCGTTGCGAAAAAAACAATGGAAAAAAAAATTGAACAAAGAGTTTGCATCAAATTTTGTGTTTCGAACGAAATTTCGTGTGCAGAATCGTTGCGAATGCTACAAAAGGCTTATGGGGAATCAGTTTTATCGAAAACTCAAGTTTATGAGTGGTACAAAGCCTTTCAGGACGGTCGTACGACCGTCGAAGACATTTCGCAACGCACTACTGAGGGGAACTGGTTTCAACAGCTGCCGTAAACGAACTGTCTGACAGATCGCGCTCATTTTTGGCATAGTAATTAAGGACAGTGCTGCCAAACTACATAAACTTAAAATATCGAAAAATATACAGCGCGCGAATTTTAAATGAGAATTTCCGAAAACTTTTCAGTCTTAATGTATATATATGCATAAAAAGATGTGCAAACAAATATAGGCTAATGTAGCACAATCTCAGTAACTTCTCTTACCTTATTGTTTCCAAAGAAACAGTAGATTTTAAAAGTAAGAAAAGTCTTATGTTAACAATTTGAGAAATTAAAATGGGTAGCTTAACAATGGCAACAGAGCTAAAACATATCTACTAAAGATATCTTTACTCATAACATTTTCCTTAAACATAAATAAAAATATCATAGCGGTAGATTTGATCAGAGCTAACAGATACTGACGTTATCAAAAAGACCAGTATTTTATGTTGTAAAATATTAATTTTTTTTTTAAAAATATTTTTTCCAAACTAATTGCATATTTATTTCGTTAAATGCATTGCTTCTTAAATGTAGACCTCCTTACTTTTGTTTTTGAAAGACTCACGTAGGGGCTTTTCAAAGTTTTATTTTGTGGAACATTTACATGCGACTTGACCGCATGTAAAGAATTATCACTGATTGCCGAACAAACAATATATGACGGTGTAATGTGAGTATTATAATGTGGACTCATCAAGATTTCTCAACCGAATTCTCTCAGTTATTGTGAGGTAACTTATTTTCTCTTCCTCTCACTTTAAACCCCTTTTTTGACTAGATAGTAATCACTCATAATGTTGCAATACCACTGAGCACATAGTCTTATCATTTTTGTCTTTGTCGTTGTTTTTGACCGTAGCTTTCTACAATTACCAATCACTTTCAAGATAAATATGAACTTTATAATAATAGTATAATATTTAGCTAATGTTATATTTTAAAACCGCTCGTTGGTCAGCTATGACTAGGGGTTGTGATAAGAAACTCTGTTTCAATAATAAAAAAAATATATTAAAAAAAAAAATCTTAACCAAACGGCACCTTATAAGTAAAGTCTACAGAAAAATCCCTAATAATTTTTCTTAATCTTTTATAAATGAATTGCTTAAGATATAAGTTCATGCATTTGAATCTCAATAATAGAAATTTACCATTAAGATAATTGGCTATATAGGTCTTCCTATAATAAATTTAATAATTTTTCAAATAATAAAAAATATAACGTAAGAAATTAACGAATAAAGATTAGACCTAAAAATAATAAGTCAATGTACCACTTGGCTTTGAATACTGAAAACATATGCAAAGTTTTGTTGAAAGTATTTTTTAAACAAATTAATTAATGTAATCATAATAACTTTTATAGATCTATTAACAATAAATAAATTTGAAATTATGTCCAGTTTTAATTTGAAAATATAAACGATGTAAGTTGTAATGCAATACTCGTATATAATCACAATATTCACAACGTATTAGAAAAAAAACAGTAACTTAAGGACATACTTTTCATTTTAACTTTTTACCTATTATGCGAATTAATATCACTATTTTTGAATAACAGAAATAAGAGAATCTAATATATTATTTTATATATAATAATGAATATACATATATAATGTATATATGCATTCGCGAAAAGACAATGAAACTTTTTAACACCATCAAGTTGCATTCAAAGACTACTATATCTTTGTTGAACTCAACCTTAACCATTACTAGATGCTTGGACATTCGCAAAATAATAAATGAAAAAATTATGTCGTTTTCTCAGTGGACTCGGCCCACACGACAAAGCACTAAAATTTTTTTGCATGATTGACTCTCATGAAAACATTAGTACTGCTTTGCCAAAGCATACCTTTATCACTACTAGCAGATATTCGCAAAATAAATATAAAAAAACCGATACCGATACTTTGACAATGACTATAACTTAGGCCCATGTTATGTAGAGTATCATGGACATAAATGGCTCTGTGGGGCTATGTCGTAAATGCATGTTATGCAGAGTGTCACATCAGTAGCAGTTTGTCAATTGCGTATTTCTACTATTACTTTGGTACTCTTTGGTTGTGCCTTATTTTTAAAGAAAATATAAACATACATACATACAAAAGGACTTTGACTGAGTGACGAGGCACAGATAGGCTCGACTCTCATGATCATCTTTAAACTAACATTTGATTTTTTCTTTCACTCTGTTTTTTTAATTTGCATTAAAAGCAACAACAATTTTTATTTTGACGTGCCGTGACACTCTACATAATATGGGCCTTACTCTGGCATAGTCAAAAAAAAATTTACTGCATTACCATTTATTTTAGACTAGATTCATACAAATTACATACAGATCGGTTTAAAATTGAATTCATTTTTACCGACAGAATTTATATTTAAAG